CATAAGTATGTTCTTTACCCTTGACATTAAATTTAAGAGTTAGTGACCATGTTAATGACCAACATTCATGATCTTGACATACATATGTACATGTATTGCAATTGTATGTGTCTAATTAATTAAAGAGTTACCTTAAAGACTACCAAACACGCATTGCCGGCAATGTGAACAGTAGCACCTCTTCCATCAATGGCAGTAAAACTACTAATGAGAAGTGGTTTCTGGAGCTGAATCCGCATGTCCCTCCGAAAGGTGATCCACTTTTTCCCTCTGATCATGGTAACCCCATATCTCAAAGTTCCTGGTGTGGGGTCCAACGCATTATCACTAGGGTCTGTGACTTGATAGTATTTGACATCACTTCCTGCGTTGTTGCTCATTTTCCCAGCAAATCCCACTGAACATGACGCAAGTTCCTGCCGGTTACTTCTCCAATTCGAGTTCCATCTCCAGCAACTGTCAATCACGTTCAATTTCATTCCATCAACTTTTGTTTTCTTAGCCAAAATAGGGTTTGGAGCGAAGCCGACGATAATGACGATGAAAAGGCCCAAAAACAAGCACCGCATATTGGCATTAAGATTTCCGGGATGAGAAGCCATCTCAAGAAAGAGCTAGATGAGCAAGGTTTTTCTGTTTAATTATTTACTTAATAGAATGAATAATTTATGTATATATTTATATAGGAGCATGGATGGAGAGATATTTATAGCCGGATTTAGTAATTAGCTAGCTAGGAAGTTTGTTTACTTGTTAGGGAGTCTTAATTAGCTACCGCGGAAAATAATTCAGAAGGTTCTGCAGTTTTCCCATCTCCAGTTTTCCTCCTCATATTTTGCTAGCTACTTTGTGTAACTAGTTTTGTTAGCTACCTTCGTCTAGAAGTAGCAGCCGGGAGAGAGGTAAGATTGTTTAACTGTTTTTACTGGTGAGCAATGGAATGGAGTCCTGTGATTTTCAACCACTACCAACGTTACTGCATATACAAATGAGTGTGTATATATATATACACACAGAGAGCTTAAGGGGAGGGATCTCCATTTTTTTCAAAAAATGGGGATTAGGTGTGGGGTCCACTTCACATCAATTTTCAACGATCCAAACCTTCTATTTTGTTAGTCTCGATTCATAGATCATCCTTGCAAAAATTCAATTCAATCCGAAACCATTTGCCTATTTAGTTATCAATATCAAATTTCCTATTTTCTTATATAACAAAGTATTCGTTCATTTCCTTGAACCCAATTAGATGTCTTAAACATTTCCAATTTAGTTAATATTTTGCAAGGATGATCTATGAATCGAGACTAACAAAATAGACGGTTTGAATCGTTGAAATTAGATGTGAAGTGGGCCCCACACCTAATCCCCTTAAGCTCTCTGTATATATATATATATATATATATATATATATATATGTTTTTTTTTTTTTGGGTAATCAAATGAGTATATATTTCACTCCATAAAAACCGATCAATTTTCAAGGGATACAACTATCGATAATCGATCCTAGCGACCAAGTCATATCCCTTTGTCCAAAAAAAAAAGTCATGTCCCAAATACCTAACTCTCATGATTGGCTGCAATTCATTTATTTTATATTTGGCTCACTATAAATATTTGGACGTATAAAAGCTCTTAAACAAAAAAATTTAAATTCATCATCTCCAAGGATATTTTTCTACCAAAAAAAAAAAAAAAAAAAAACCATTCAGGAAAAAAAAAAAAAGAAGAAATAATCGGGAAAAATATGAAGATAAAAAAAACAAGAAAAAACTGAACGTCGAGAGACCAAGAGAGTCACGTTGTGCAAAACTCTAGGGAGATGAACCAAAAGGATAAAAATGGGATGAATCTGCATCAAACCACTGCCACTTTCTCCATCAAAGTGAGTGGGTAGTTTTATGGGAAACAAACAACACAATCTATATTTACAGAAGGAAACAAATTACTATAGGCCAGTTCTCTCGTTCTTTCATACATTGTTTCAAGGTAAGATTCTACGCAGTAATTTGTTTGCAGATGGCTTAATACTTTCACGTATTTTCATTTATCGTCATTTTTGCTTGGCCACTTCTCTCTTTTGTAATTGATGTTCAGTATTTTCTTTATCTCTTTCATGCTCTTCTGCATGATATCATTTTTACTTGAAAATTAGTACTATTTAAATTCTTCTATTTGTGGCAGCAGTTTCTTGGACAGGTGCTTCGCCATTTGATCCCACCTTCTTCACATATTTTCAGTCGGAATTTAGAGGAACCACCCTCACGTCTGTACACCCACCCCTCTCTCTGGCGAATTAGTGTGTAAATTGAGTTATGATTTTTGTGGGTTAAATTTTGTGTTTGTAGAGTTTTGTTGTGAATTCAGAGACTTTACCAGACGGGACCATTAATTTGATGGTGTGACTTACACGATTCCCGGCAAGACTAGCGTAAGCTCTTTGATTATTGGGCACTTTTAATTTTACTGTTTTTATGCATTTTATAAAAAAAAATTGGGTAAAATTTGTGTAAATTGTTTATGTATTTTTTTAAGTTCAATACAACATTGTGCCAATTATCAAACGCAACATGACACAAAAAGTGTACATGTACGAAACCAAATGAGAGAAAAACCAAAAAAAGTCAAAGTCAAGATTTCTTTGGCCTTCGGTAGTTTTACTTTTTAATCCATATGATGTATACATTTTTTTCTAATGATTTATTTAAAGGGAGTTTTAACAAAACACTTTCGATACTGTTTACTTTTAATAAAAAATCACATTTTTACTTTTTTCTGATACTATTCACTACACATTTATTTGTTATTTTTCATTAAAACTAAATTTTTTTTGAACTTTTCGTTAATTTTCCTTTATTTAAACTAGCCATTAGCACACAAGCTTTATGTGTGCAACTAAGATTATTTTTTATTTTACTACGACTTATCACTAATGAGCATGGATGATAACTTAAAAAAGAAAAAGACAAATAAAAAAAGAGAAGAGAAAAGGTATTAGAATGTGGGAATGTAGAGAGAGGAAGAGGAGGAGAAGTGGGGTTAGAGTGGTAGTTTGTTGGAATTTGGTTGACAAACAGGAGTTTATTAATATGTAGTTTAGAGATGTACACTTTATTAAGATTGAACAAATTAGGATTTTATATACCATAAGATTGAATGAATCAGTTTTATAGTTGCCCTATTACCTATATTGAGTACAAATGTGGAAAAGAAAATAGAATTTTATACACCGTCTTTCGCGCACGCATGAGCACATATAGAAAAGCTAGTTTATATTATGTTGCATCCTTAGCATTACTTTTGAAGAATAAGAAACTAATTAAATATGGTTGGTTGGTGGAGTTAGGCCTGTAAAAAGGGCCGAGACCAAAGCCAAACTTGGGTCGGCCTAACCCGATCGAAGGCGTGGACTTTATTCCGCCAGTTTTCAAATGCGTAGGGCCTGAGCCTTACATAGTATGCCTATGACCCGGCTCTGATGTAATTTTTTTTAGTGCATCTATATTTTTATACTAAAAAAAAGGAGTTCGGTTAACGCACACAATAAACAGCTTAATTTAGTATCGAATTCGTCATTCATGATATTCAAACCTAAAACCTCTCACTTCCAAATGAAGATGAATACCACTAGTACTACTGTACTGAGTGATTGCTCTGATGTAATTAAAACTTATTAATTTAGTGTGTACTGATTTATCTATACTTGTATAATTTAATTGATTCTTTTGAAAAATTTAGTCATTTAGCTGGTACGGTATTCAGAATAATTAAATAAAAAGTCATATGTTCAATTCTCCACATTAGCAAAGTGCCTCTATTAATAAAATAAAAAGCGGTTGGAGGCAAAAATAGGGTCAGGCCAGCCTGGTCCGTTGAGCCGAAAAACTTGAGGCCCCGTAGGGCTAGGGCCAATACTCCTCAGGCTCGAGTCAGCCCAATTTACATGTCTAAATGGTGTCATGACCACATTATTCTTATTTTAGGTGGAAAGAGATCCTCTCCAGATCTCTTTCTTCAAAGCCCATTGATAAAATGATACGGACTCTTAAAATTTGATCAAACGGCTAAAAGTAAAAAAGTTAGTAAACACTTTTAGAAGTTATAATAATTTTTTACCGTTGAATCAAATTTCAAGAACACAAATCACTTGATCCGTGAGCTTTAGAGGAAGAGATCCGATGATGATCTCTTTCCATTTTAGGTTACCTTTATTTTCACAATCAACTTTTAGTTAAGTTAAATAATTAAACACATTTTTTTATCCAAACTATACCAAATTATCCCTTTTGAATAATTAAACAAAAAATTAAAATATTATCATCTTTCTACGCACACATCTAATTTAAATGTCACCTATCATGACCTCAAAGCGAGTCAAATCCTCGCTATCCAACTCGACCGCGTCCGACTCAACTTGCACGATTTTTTCGACTACCAGCTCCTCATATCTTCCAACCACCTTGTCTATTTCATGTACAAGGGGCCATAAAGCCACAACAATCATATCCTGAAAGACAACTCATGGAGAAGGCCGGGTCCAACATTATTAGAAGAAAATAACCCAAAATGAAATAATTATTGATGGAATCAGACTTTGCAGTTGCAGTTGCAAGTTGCTGGCAGTAATCATCTTTTAGGTCCCCTTGTTTTGGCATGTCTCTACAAAACGATGTCCACACCCTCTCATTCTCAAGTCGGTCTTATCTCCCCAACTCTCTCCCTTGTCGACCCTCATTAAAAAAAAAAAAAAATTAAAAAATATAATAATAAAGAAAAAAAAGGTCTTATCTCCCATGTTCGCTCCCCTGTCGACTCGGCTGAATGTCGATATAACCAAAACAATCAAACTGGAAAAAGTTTTCTGGTGGCCTATCGAGTCCAGCATTCTTGTTATATTTGACTACAATTTTTCATCAACATATTCCGAGCTTGCACAAGCTATAAGCACTTTGTTATGCCACTTGATAAGAAAATAAAATTACCGTAGACCCGAAAAATGAAGGATAAATTAGTTTTATATATACATTGGCTACCAACGCATAAAAAAGTTGCAAAGTGTTGAGATTTTTGCTGATAATTCTGCTTGAATACATCGTTGTTTCAGAAACTGATATGATTAGGAAACACTTTTGAAACCTATTATGCATGAATATAGCAAACCCAAATTTCGTCATTGTATACCTATATCCCACAACATTTATTTGGTAGGTCACAATTCATCGAGTCCACAACCGCTCCGACTTTCATGCTAAATCAGTGGATGACAGGCTTGAGGGGATAAGCTCTCATCTTCGACCACTCAACAGTAGAATCAAGATCTGCATCTAATTCCCCAACAATGCTTCTGCAACAATTGGAAGATACTGAGAACTTAGAAAGGCTGTGCACTGTACATGCATATATTTGTAGAAACTCATTCCAAATTACTTCCCTCAACCCACTGGAAACTATTGTAAATAGAATAAAGTTTTTGACACTTACATGTTGTCACCTCTGATTATGTACAACCCCAACACGAGTTGCTGAACACCCTCCTGTCGGTCAGAAATACAAAGTGGTGCCACCAATAAGAAATACAAGTTAACAAAATGCCGGTGGGACAATAAAACGAATAAATGTTTTGTATATGCTGAATTTGAAAACCACATGTAAAACCCCAATGACAACAATATCTAGCAGTAGAGACGAAACACATAATAATTATTCAACGCTTAAGATCCTGAACGTCTTGAGGAAAATAACAAATGCTCAAATTGAGAAAAATCAGAAAAATTCTGCCTGGCATAAAATAGATTCCCACTTCCCTTTCCTTTTGTCCAATTACTAGAAAGAGTAAACAAAGATGCAGCTATAAAGTGGAAGCTTGTAACAGTGAAGATGCAAACCTTTGTAGAAAAAACACGTTCATGAGATTCATCAAGAATAATATTAGTAGACTGGTCAAAGCCTTTCAAGACTCCCTAAAATAAAAACAAAAAAATTGTTCACAAACTGATTCTGTTAATAAGATGTAAAAGGTACATTTGAATGTTGATAAGACGCAAACGCTGCATTGTAGTGTTAGTGTGTAACATACCACAATATTCCGTCCATCATTTGTGATAACTGAAATTGTTTCTGCAAATAGAAATGTTAACAGTTAGAGAGAGTTGATCTGCTCATAGCATATGGTGCACACTTGGGCTATAGTATAGAAGGATTAACTATATTCATGCATACGAGTGAAAAGCGTTGATATTTGAAAAAAATAAATAATGGATAGTGAAGAATTTCATACGATCAACGAGTGACTCAAGACCAGGGCCACTGGACATATTTCAATCCTGAGTTTTCTGTGCAAGACTTGTAATGAACAAGTTTAACTGCAAGAAGGAGAGAGATTTCAGAATCAATAACACCTGTCTAAAGGGAACAAAGTACATGAAAACACCGAGAAATCTTTAAGAGGTGGAGTGTGGAGACATTCATTGTAACTCTGTAAGGGTAAAGGTAGATAAAGGGTATTATTATTTTTATAAATAATCCCAAAGATCAATCACATGAAGTCTGATACCTCTAATCCCAACAAATCTTTACCAAGACATAATCTTTCCTTCTTTCAATAACAAAAGCCCTAATTAATCCCTATACAAGACAAAACCAATCACCATACCAATTGAGTTGCATGTGTCTTTCTTTTACAAGACAAAACCAATCCTTCCTTGATTTCAAGTTCGTGCTTCACGAAAAGTAAAAGCATAAGCTTGCTGTCCTAAAAACCCACAATTCTCCAACTCACCATTCCTATCATTAAAGAAGGAACCCATAAAAACACCCCGAAGCACTATTAAGTGTTAGCCTTCCCGTTCATGGATTTCGCTTTCCTCGAAAGATAAGAGCCCAATAGCCCATCTCAGCCTTCCAAGCCCAATAGCCCAAAGTGTGAATCTACCCATCCCCAGTTATTTAAGCTTCCCTCTTCTGACAGACATCAGAAATATTAATCAGTTTTACACTTTGCTATTCATCAGTTCCCACCTCTAAGAAATTGAAAGCTCTTGAAAGGTATATCTTCTTTCGGATTAAAGTTTTTGCAGTATTTTGGCCTTTGTGATTTCAGCTTCAACATGTACTACTACTACTACGGGTTTTGTCTGTAATAATTGGTATCAATTTTTCTTCCTTTCAAGGGAAATGAAATCCGGGAACATTGGTATCACTTAAGAGTGCTTCGGGATCATTTTACGGGTTCATTCTTTACTGATATTCATGGTGAGTTTGAGAATTGTAGGTTTCTAGCAAGGACTTTTAGTTTTCGGAAAGTAAGAATATGAAATCAGGAATAAATTAGTTTTGTCTTGTAAAGTGATTTAGGGCTTTTATTAACGACGACACAGTCAACTCAATTGTTGTGGTGTGGTGACTGGTCAATTGGTGTGGCGTGGTGACTGAATTTGTCTTGACCAAGGATTACTTAGGGCTTTTGTTATTGAAAGAAAGAAAGATTATGTCTTGGTAAAGATTGAATGGGGTTGGAGGTGTCAAGTTGAATGGGGTTGATCTTTGGGATTATTTATATAAAAATAATAATACACTTTATATATCTTGTCTCTTCAATCTCATACTGTATTAAGAAAAATGAGCTCGAATTATACAAACTTCAACAAAAACGCTCTATGAGGTGCCAATGTGCAATAAACTTCACGCACTAAATAATTGAGTTCAAAACATCCCCCAAATCCTATAAACATAAAAAATAAAAAATAAAAAATCTTCAAATTTCAGTTTGTCTTCATTAAATGATGAAATGGGAATAAGCAAGTGGTTTAAAGATGGTAAGAAGAGCAAAACCATACTGTTTTTATCACACCCAACATAATGCTCCACACGAAACTCAAGCCACAGCATCCTAAAACTGAGAAACCTAAAGCCACAAGGCAACACATGACAACTAAGCAAGAAAACATATATTTATACCTATACAACCGTGAATGCACGTAAAACTAGCAATTCTGAGAAAGTAATACTGATGACCCTGTGGAAGTAAAACCCCGTTCAGCATTCATAATTGGGCACTATCACACCGTTTCACCCAAAGAAATACAAGAGTTATAATACTGTAAGACGCTTCTACTTGTACAGTGACACCGACATATGCGAACAATAAGTGCACAGATGTAGCATATTCATTTGGAATCCCACCTAGTAAACATTTCAAACGTACTCTTTGGCTGCCCACACGATCAAAACTAGAAATCTAAAAATACAATATTTGCACCAGAAATGACTGATTTAGCTTTACCACCAACGAACAAGCTTCACGGACACAACAGCAAAACATTACAAACAAAAACAAACACAAACACAGTGGGTGCTCTGCTCAATAATCCATCCTCAATCATTTATTTAACCAGCAAATAAGGACAGGCAACAAATGAGCAATTCCAATAAACAAAACAGAAACAGATTCCCTAAATAAAATAAAGGATCGACGAGAAGAGAGAGCGCGAATGAGAAAGTCTTCACCTTGGCGTGGGGGGATTTGGGAGCTTTGGCCTCGCTAGGGTTTTTGCGTTCGGGATGAGAAGATATAAAGATTATGAATCCAAGCCTGCAACTCAGACGGCGCTATGGCTTGGTTTTCTCTCTCGCTATAAAAGCCCTCCCTCGCCTATTCTCAACATCCGACGGTCACCAACCCACCCCTCTTGCCACGTGATGCGTTCCTGATAGGGTTTGGGCTTTTTTTTTATTTTTTTTTAATTTTTTCTTTTAATGCGTCAGAGATAGGTCTCTATAAAAAAAATAATATAAAATATTGACGTGATTTAACCATGACCAAACAAGAGGGCACGAAAAGTGGGAGGGCAGAGAATCTGCCTCCTTGATTATCACCTTGTTTACTGATGCAATGTACACAATTTAAAATATCAGTATTGGTAAAAATATCGATAGGTAAATTTATAGAAATATTAATAGATATATCGAATATCAATATCGATATCAATTGCATTCGATGGAAATGATGAAAATTTGCTCAAAAACATAAAAATTTAAAATATTTTTTAGGGAAGGTCATATGAAGTCACTCACAACACACATATGAATCAAGAATTAATGATTAGAAACTGTGTAAACAATAAGTATGTGATATGTGACAAAAAAAAACCTTCCTTTTAATGACAATTAATAAAATAAAGCATTTACAAGAAAGAATAAATTATACATAACTTAATTGAAATTTTCATCACGAAAGCAGTACAAGATTTATTGAAATAAACTAATACCATAAAGAAAGAAATTAAAAAAAATAAAGAATGCAAAGGCTCGTGGATATTTCTTGCAAACTTTTTTACAAATTGTTTGTAAACCCTGGATATTTCCTAACAATATCGGAAATATCGAAGAAATTGACTGATTTCTGGAAACACGGATATGGGGTGAATATCACTCCCTGGATTTTTGGATATTTCCATGAAAATATTGAACATATCCATGATATTTCAAACACTGAATGTACACTCTAGCCGAGTTCAAATTTATGTAACAAAAACATTGTGCCCTGCCTCTCTGATGTATTGACACATGTCCTCTTTTTTTGTTAATAAATAATATTATCTACGCTTAAGGGAGGGGTGGGCATAATCTCATAATGAGTTAACAATAATATCGTCTAACTTGACATCAACATAACAACGGTAAAATAAAGTTAAAAAGTGTGACAAAAACAAAATTAAAAGGAACAAACTAATGGCTTGTTTACGTAACCGTAATCAAAATTGGAGGAATTTGATTGAGGAAAAATTGAATTGACGAGGAATTGAATTGAGGAGAATCCAAATCCAGATTTCCATAAAAGCTATTTACTCAAATGTTTTGAAATCGGAATAAAAATGGTATTGAATCCATAAAATTGTTTAGGGCTTGTTTGGTATTCTATTTGAATCCAACTTTTTAAACTCTGTTTATACCATATTTAGGGCCTCGTATTTAGACCTCGTATAAATACTCGGGAGACCTAAATGTAATATGTAATAAAGGAAAGGGCAAATATGTAATAAGTGAGGTGTTCTTATTCTATAAAAGGACCCATCACCCTCACAATTGGAGAAGGCCATTTCTGAGGCCAATTTCTGAGGCCAATTTCTAAGGCTCCTCTCATCCCATCTCAACGTTCTCACTCTCAGAGCTCTCTCCCTCAAATAAATACAATCAGTGTGGACGTAGCCCAAACCTTAGGGTGAACCACGATACATCTTGTGTTATTTACATTTCATGCAGATTCACGGTCGAATTTACGTTGTTCCAAGACCTCCAGTTTTGTGCATCAACATTTGGCGCCGTTTGTGGGAATCGACACAAAAAACTATGTCGGTTCTCTTTCATTTTTTCACTTCCATCGTGAATCTGCAGAATCTGCAAATCTGCAAAATCTACAAAAACCCATGAACCCAAAGCTTTCCAAAAAAAAAACCCAGAAACAGAAAATACTTGATCTCTCTTATCTCCTTTTGCATCTCACCCTCAGATCTCCGTTTCTGAGTTTTGAAAACCCAGCTGCTCTCAGGTTGTTGATCCGCGACCCTGAAATCGGCGAAGCCCCACTCTTCTCCGAATTCTCCTTCGCCTCAGATCACTCCATCTGTCGCTTGCTGTCTCACGGACTCGCCCCCTCACAAGGATTCAGTCAAACGCCCGCCGCATTTGTAATCCTAGATTTCAGCAACCGTCAAGAAAATATCTTATTGATTTCTCAGCAACCGTGCGATCATTTTTTTCCAACTTCAGTTGGCTTATTAAATGAGTATTTCCCAGATGTGTGCTTGGCCATTTGGACAACAACTCATTGGACTATTCCAGCCAATGCTGCGGTGGCTGTGAATACCAAGCTTTTATATGGCATCATTGAAGTATAGTCACTCCCAGAAGATTCTTTATCTGATGGAAATAAAAAAGGAAGGTCTGGAAATCTTTTGAAGGAAGAAAAGAAGCCTTTCCTTATTGTTGCTTCAGATCTTGTGCCAACGTTAGAATCAAAACGGGGTGTGAAGCTTGTTGTTAGGAAAAGGGTGTTGGGTTCAGATCTTGAAAACTGCAGGTATGTCCATCCTCATCACTTTCGTCATCACGGAGGAATGGCTCGACTTCATTGATTCCGAAGCCACCCCGGACAACATTCAACTCACCACGATTCCCAATGTCATCCCATCGGAGCTGGTCCGCGCCACCAACATAGATGGTTTCATCGACGCAATCATGACCAAGATGGAGGCCACATTCGAGCGACTCATGGATCGGCTCGAGCCGCCTCCGCATCACATCGTCATTTCATATAAAGGGAAACCAAGACTGTTGCAGGCCTGATAGCATTTTTCCGGCCAGTTCAAGATCCAACAGCAGGGCAAGAAGTGGCGGAACCTGCAGGAGAAAAAGTTTCCTTCTACTATGCAACTACAGCTCCGCCAGAAATGAGTTAGGCCGGTGAGGATTCGAATGTGACGAAGGAGAGCGAGCTGGAAGCTGAGCATGCGGAGGCAGGCGAATTGGCACAGAAAGAAAAAAATACCTCACTCAAATCCTTCAAATTTAATACTCAGCAGAAACCCAGCATCCAATGGCTCTTAGTTCTATTTGGCAACGGCCGACGAAGCAGCGTCTTCGATCTATTCTTTCTCGACATCTAGGACTCGTTTAAGGGCTTGGACACTCTGGCCAACTTCGAAACGGTCGCCCAAGAACATGCTCGCCGGAGCACCACCTCTGTCGATTCCAAGATCTCCAAAGCCCTGCAGCAGCGCCCACAACGATGCTAGATTTGAATCCGACAAACAAGCATCCAATGAAAGTGAAAAGCAAAAGAAAAAGAAAACAAAAAGAAGATGTCTGGAGAAAGCAAAAGCAAAAATAAGATGCGATGGAAAAGAGAACAAGAGAAAGCAAAAGAAAAAAGAGCAAAGTAGAAAAGAGAATAAAATCTGAGAAATTATGATTTGAATGAGCAGGACCGCAAGTGGTAAGGGATAAACGGTAAAGTGTTAAGTTTAATGATTAATTGGGTACACATGCATGACAGAGATAGAAAGAGATGCCCGGTATGCAGTAGGTGCAGTACGCACCAACGATCTGCAACTGTCGAAACCTTTATTTTTGAATGATGTGATTTATTGTTCTTATCTGTCGGAGACATCTGTATAAACCCCATCAGAGGGTAATAAAAAAACAGCAAAGCCCAAAATAAATGGGCTGGAATGTTGTGTAGAGGGCGAAGGCCCATAAGCCCAAAATAGCTCCAACCAGGTGATCAAAAATACGCCTAGTACTCCACAATTATTCGGCAACCTGCCGCTAGGGGTGAGTTGGAAAAACCAAAAACCGAAAAAAACTGACCGAAAACCGAACCGAGGCCGAAAAAACAGAACCGAAAAAAAAAACTGAACCGAATCTGTTGAACCGAACCGAACCGAATCTGGTTGGTTCGGTTTTGATTTCTGGGGTTCGGAAACCGAACCGAACCGAACCGAACCGAACATCTTCAAAACGACGTCGTTTTATAATATTTTATTAATTAATAACCCTAATTCTAAAACGGCACCGTTTTATTCCTAAACTAAAACTGCAAGTTGCAACCCGTAAGTAACCAACCCTAGCCCTCCTCCTCTCTCGGTCTCTCTCCTGTTTTCCCACTCCCCTGCCCTCCCTAGTTCGTAGTCGCAGTAGCCTCCGTCATCTGTCTCTCTCTCTCACAGCAGCAAGCAGCAGCCTCCGTCCGTCATCTGTCTCTCTCTCTCACAGTAGCAAGCAACCTCTCTTTGTCTTTCTCATTCCCCCTTGCAGCAGCCTCACCTCATCAGTCTCTCTCGCAGCAGCATCCTCTCTCTCTGTCTCTCTCGCAGCAGCATCCTTATCTGTCTCACGGCAGCGACGACTTCTTACTCTCAAATCTCAATCACAGCAAAAGGTTAGTTTCACATTTAATTTTCAGTTCTACTTATACAGTTTTAGAGATTTGATTTGTATTTTAGTGAATATATTGATTGAGTTGTAATAACAGATTGGGTGTTTTTATGCTTCATAAAGTAATTCAATTGAGTTCCCACGATTGATTGTGCTTCAGATTGGGTATTTTTATGCTTCATAAAGTAATTGAATTGAGTTCCCACGATTGATTGTTCTTCAGATTGGGTATTTTTATGCTTCGGAATGTCACTAGGGCACATTACATTGTTCTTCAGATTGGGTATTTTTATGCAAACTGTACCGTGTGGATGATATAACAAACATAGGTCATATTAATTAGTTAGGAAATAGGAAGGATAGATTATCCGTGTGTTTGCACACAAGTTTAATTTATCCGTGTGGCTGCAGGTTATATATATATAATGGCTGCAGGTTGTGTATGTGTGATTCAGTTTTTATTATACATATATATATATATATATATATATTGGCTGCAGGTTGTATATATATAATGGCTGCAAGTTGTGTATGTGTGTTTGAAACAATATCCCTAATGAAGGGAGTTTGGCTGCAGGTTATATATATATATATATATATATTGGCTGCAGGTCGTCTATATATAATGGCTGCAAGCTGTGTATGTGTGTGTTTGAAACAATATCCCTAATGAAGGGAGTTTGGCTGCAGGTTATATATATATATTGTGAAGGGAGTTTGATTCT